TATCAAATACCGCCAAAATTATATTATTCGTACGTTACGGTAAACATATTTTACAATCTCTTTGGATTGAAATATGACTTCGTCACAGTTGATAGTATGTTGCGATAATAAAAAAGATAATACAATTTTTTTTTTTTTTACCTACTCGCATCCTCGGACAATATAGAATATTGATCTGTATGATTATTGTTTTTCAACATTACTTTTCGCTTCATTTTAATTAATGCACAAGTAGTATTTTTCTTTTTTAACGCAACTGAATATTGAACTCTCGACTTCCAGACGAATAATAAGGTAACCATATTCATATATTATATATTATTATCTAAAGTCTATAGTATACATATATATTAAACTCCATTCACCCATGTAACCTAAAAGTATAATTTTGGTTTTTCTTTGTATTTTTTCTGATATCTTAGCTGAAAACACTATGTCGGAAATTAACGTACAAATACGCATGGGACCGTGTCGTCTGTTCGATTTTAAAGTCTACGTGAATTTAAATGATAACGTTATTTCATTGAAAAAAGCAATCTGTAAAATAAAAGACCATATGGCTATTGATTGTATGGCCGTCATGTATTGCGGAAATATTTTGAATGACGAATCTCGTGCATTATATACATACGATCTATTCTCAGGTGCCACAGTGTTCGTTTTTCAAAAAATTAAGAGAGAAACATATGCGATTTCCGAACCAATTAACGAAGCTGCCATGGAGGAACGGATCAAAATCTTTCGTTCACTCTTGATGTCCTCGAAAATGAAAAATTTAATGAAGGCCCTTTGTGAACCCGAAGAGATTAATATCTTGTTGTACAACAATCCTGGCTTAGTTAATGATCCGATTGCACTTACTTTATTTCAAAATCCTGAGTTATTAGCGGCAGGTTTTAATAATGAAATTTTAAGAAACTTGGCACTACGTCATCCTGCTTTGATTGATATTACACTACATGTTCCTAAAAGTGCACAACTGTTAAAGGTAATTTTATTGAAAAATGTAGACAACTATTTTTATAATTATTTAAATGCGTTTTTTAAATTGTGTGTTAGGACGAAACAAGCGAAGACTTAGTTCCTGATGATAATGCAATTTCCACTCATTCACTATCAACTGTAAGGAATACTGCAGCACAGCAATCTCAACCAAGTACTAGTGGAACAAATACTTCAACTGAAAGTATGGAAAATGCTCCAGAGACCATACAAAGTCAACTACCTATAACCGAACAAAATTTATTAACTCAGTTACAAATGATGAGAAACATGGGTTTCACCAACCAAGCTGTAAACATTGCAGCATTACAACTCAGTAATGATTTTGAAACTGCTGTTCACTTAGTATTAAATGGTTTTATAAATCCATTATAAATATCTGTTGAAAACATTTTTAACTATATTTTATATTCATTCGACATTGCAAAAATTAATTGCAACAGTTTTCAAAATAATTTACTAATTTATGCTAACATTAATATTTACTTTTTACTTTATAATAATATTTAATTTAAGATAGTTAATTTTAAATTTATTTAAATAGATAATTATTTTAATCTTATGTAGAACCTTATATTAGTTATTGGACATAAAATATATTTAATAATATTTTATAGTATAGGTTTTACAGTATAAATAATTGAACACATTTCAAGCTAAGATAACAAACATGTAATTAAGGTTTTATTATTACTATTATTATAACATACATTTTACCTACTACAAAAACATTAATTTATAATTAAACCATTCGTTATACCTAATCATTATAGTTGGGCTCAGGAGAAATGAGCTAATGGCAGAGTTTAAATATTGGGGTTCTCTATAGAAACCGGTACTAAAATGTTTTCAACCACCTTATGAGACATGGCCATAATATTTTCATTATGGAAAGGTTGATATTACATATGTTTGCAGGTTTGGGGTAAAATTGCCACTGGAAATGTAACTGCATTTGCAGCACTCACTATCCGTGAGCCCGACTATAAATATAATAATAATAATATTTGAAACTATAATATACAAATTTAAAAATATTCATAAATTAGATATGAATATTATATTATTTATTATGAAATTAATAATATTTTTTATGGCACTTAATAAAAACTTGAATATTACCAATATCCACAGTTTCTATTAATATATTTTATTTATATTATTTTAAAAAATAGCTAGTTAGTAAAAAAATGTTGGTTTGAAATATTAATTTAAGCATTATTTATTTAATGAATAATTTATGATGTGAATTTTTTGATTTTTTTAGTTATTTAATACATATTAATAATGTTATTATAAAATAGATAGGAAGCTGGGATACAATCATATGGCAATTTAGTTTATAATTCTCTTTTTAAAGTTCAACTTTGTATACAGTAGTTTTTTTATTACAATTTATAATTAAATGTAGGCATTAGTAGAAATATTTAAATGAATGTAATTTGTATTTTGTTTGATCTTTAATAGTTTGATACAATATATAATTACTATAATTCCATATTTATCTATATTTTATTTATATATATTTAAATAATAATTTACATCTACTGTTAAACTTATAGGTATATTAAATTATATTGGTAATTGTAAAAGGTCATTAGTTGAAGACACGAATATTTCAATGCAATCACAATAAACGTATTTCGTATTAAAAAACAAAATGAAAATAAAATTGTGTTTACAAATATCGAATTTAAATGGGCGCCCTCATAAAATAATATTTCAAAAATGGGTGAAAATTGTAACATACATGGTTCATGTAGTTGTGAAGCTTACACTGGCAAATGTAAGCATGATGTGGGATTTTCGCTTAAACTCAAAAGTTAGAACCTACTTGTGTATGGTAATATACATGCAATAAAGAATGTTGTAATATTATAGATAGTTGCTTACATTCTTTTTTTCAAAAATTGAAAAATGATATATTTACAGTACCTTTTTAATCAGATTAACTTTCAGAAAATGTGCCATTTTTATAATTGCTGGTAGAAAAGTTGTTCGAAGGAATAAAAGGACCGAAATATTTTTTTTAATATATTTTTCGAAAATAATGAGTAGACTTTTATAATTTTTAATAATCGTTTTTCAAGTATGACTGTTGCAAACGTATTGTATAAACCATGTTCGGGATAAATGCTAAACATTTTTGCAAGTTCTGCCAATGAGTACAATCCAAGATGTAATTTATATGCTGTTTTATGCCCATTTCCACCAATAATATAATTACATTATTGATTGATTTTTATTATTTCATCTTTGAGATATGATAATGTAAATTTTAATGGAAAATCTCCAACTATTCTATCTTTCATTGTATTAATATAATCATCATTATCATGATCAAGACCTAAATATGTGTTTATCTTTTCGTCTAGATTAAAGAAAACAAGGGATATGATATTAATGGTATCTTTTTCAAAATATTATAATTCATGTCAATGCTTTTCAATTTCCTATGCCTGCATGCGCAAGTATATATATTTAAACTAAATAAATCGTATCAGATTTGGTTTTGTTTTATGTAGACAGCGAAATTATATTTTCAAATGGGAATATTAAAATTATGCACCAAAAAAAAAACGGTTATAATGGGTTGAATGATAGCAGTTGGGAAAATAGGAAGAGT